GGGCCGTCGTGTGGCAATGCTCCACTTTTAGTTCCCCGTCACCATGTGGCGCTCGGCGGCGCTTCTGGAGGGGGCGCCTGGCCTGACCTGTGTGTGTCCTCGCGTTTCCAGGCTGCACGGAGCGGATCGAGGCGCTGCGACCCAAGTCTCCGCCGCCCAAGAGCCGCGGCGGCTACAGCCGTGGCCGGGGACGGGGCGGCCGGTGAGGGCCCGCCGATGGCGCCGCCCGGTCCCGGCCAGGGTAGCGGACGCCCCGCCCGGTGACCGGAAGGGCAGGCCAGCGGCAGCTCCAGCTCGGATCTCTTCTATCGATTGTGATCACGCCCCTGCGCCGACACCCGACCTCGCTTGGAGGAGCCTGCACCGGCAGTTGCGTGTCGACGCGGTGGATGTCGCGTTGTGGTCGTTTTGACTATGCGACAGGCTGGTGCAATGCCGGGCGCTGCCATCGCGGCATATCCGCACCACCAGCGCGTTGACGGTACGGAAAGGGCACCGCACTCTGGTCATTTACCTAAGATGGAAGACTTTGGTAGACAAATGAATGGTGGCAGTGATTTGCCTACTCAGCTGGGGGCCGTTTGGCTTTCAGCGATTTTGAGTCAGCTTCAAATTCATGAAATTTGAAGGCCACTGAGCATAGTCGCATGCTCTTGGGACGGCAATAGTTTTTCTCCTTTGTATATGACTGGACTTCATAGACGTCAGCAAAATTATTTAAAGTCAGCAGATCGGCCAGGGTGCGATAGCCCTGAGGTTCGCCCCCGCGGGTGCGCCGTTGTCGCCCAGAAGATTTGGGACGTGTGTGAGAGGTCGGCTCGAAGATGTTTCATCCTCCAGTCCGCTCGCCTGCCGTTTGGCACTGGTCTTATCGAGCGGCCAAATCTGAGCTGAATTGCATTCTTCCATCGTTCATTGTCTATGAGTTTGTTCATTGCGATCAATTTCACCGTTAATATTTGAACAACTTGACTTATGAGGCTTATGGCATGGCGTAACGTTAAATGCCTTTTTTATTTCGCGATCGGCCAGTACGAACTGTCAGTGTTTGCGGCCTGACATCTGCTCTCACTGGCCTCCGCGAACGTTTCTTTTTATCGTGCTTTAATGTCGTGACTCGGTTACACACTCCACGCGCTGTTAATCTAGGCTGCGGCGGCCCCGCGCGGCTGCACCTCCTGCGCCCGCGCGCTGGGTCTGGCGCAGCCCGTCGCAATCTGCCATGGCTCTCCCCCGCTTCGTGATGTCTCGTACGCGTTCGCCCATGGGGACGATGGGCGGTATGTTCTGCGTGATGTGCGCCGTCGCAGAGCGTGACACAGCGACTGAGCAGCCTTCTGCGGGGATGTCCGACGTCTTTTTAGGTCAGGTGTGTCATGTGACGTACAATTTGAGACGGTGCGCTGGTTGGGCGCGTAATGTTCCGCGAAGCTGGCATCATGCTTATATACTGGAAATGTCTGGGCGGCGAATGTGGTTTCCGTTGTTCAGTTTGTCACCAGCACGTTGTTGTCGCTGCGTTGCATCCGGAACTCTGTGGCGAAGGGCTGTGGGCTGAGCCAGGGCGTCCACGTGCCCCACGGCACCGTGCTCGGCGTGTGGCCTTGTCGCTGGTATGACGTCAGCACAACCGCTACCGTCCCCGGATCCCACCGGTGGCGATGCGTCGCCGGGCTCTGTCAGCTACATGACGCTGCTAGCCTGGGCCGCCGGCACCGAGGCAAACCACCTCCTGACCTGCCGGACCGGCCGGCGCCGAGGCGGACCACCGCAGCCTGACCTGCCGGACCGGCCGGCGCCTGCTGTGCCGGACCGCCGGCGCCGAGGCGGACCACCGCAGCCTGACCTGCTGGACCGGCCGGCGCCTGCTGTGCCGGACCACCGCAGCCTGACCTGCTGGACCGGCCGGCGCCTGCTGTGACGGACCGCCAGCGCCAAGGCGGACCACCGCAGCCTGACCTGCCGGACCGGCCGGCGCCTGCTGTGCCGGACCGCCGGCGCCGAGGCGGACCACCGCAGCCTGACCTGCCGGACCGACCGGCGCCTGCTGTGCCGGACCGCCGGCACCGAGGCGGACCACCGCAGCCTGACCTGCCGGACCGGCCAGCGCCTGCTGTGCCGGACCACCGCAGCCTGACCTGCTGGACCGGCCGGCGCCTGCTGTGACGGACCGCCGGCGCCGAGGCGGACCACCGCAGCCTGACCTGCCGGACCGGCCGGCGCCTGCTGTGCCGGACCGCCGGCGCCGAGGCGGACCACCGCAGCCTGACCTGCCGGACCGGCCAGCGCCTGCTGTGCCGGACCACCGCAGCCTGACCTGCTGGACCGGCCGGCGCCTGCTGTGACGGACCGCCAGCGCCAAGGCGGACCACAGCAGCCTGTCCTGCCTGGCGGCCGGCGCCTGACCTGCCGACGCTGACAAATGTGTTCGCGTGAAATAAAGAGAGCCGGCCGTATGGCGAGTTAGCGGCGGGCAGTCCGTCTGTCAGTGGAGAGGCGTCTGGAACGTTGATACCGCCTCCCAGCCTAGCTCCCAGCTGAGCGTGCAGGATGACTTGGTGACGTCAGCGTGACGCAATGGATCCTACGGCGGCCCGGGCACGTCTGCCGGCACAAGCTGCGGCGTGACGTCATACACGGCACTCCGGATGTGGTCAGCACGCTCGGCACCGAGGCGGCGCTACGGGCCGCCGTCAGCACGCTCAGCACCGAGGCGGCGCTGCGGGCTGCCGTCAGCACGCTCAGCACCGAGGCGGCGCTACGGGCCGTCGTCAGCGCGCTCAGTGCTGGGGTGGCGATGCGGGACGTCAACACGCTCAGCGCTGGGGCGGGGATGCCGGACGTCAGCACGCTCGACATGACGCTACGGGCCGCCGTCAGCACGCCCAGCACTGGGGCAGCGATGCGGGCCGTCGTCAGCACGCTCAGTGCTGGGGTGGCGATGCGGGACGTCAACACGCCCAGCGCTGGGGCGGGGATGCGGGATGTCAGCATGCTCGACATGGCGCTACGGGCCGTCGTCAGCACGCCCAGCGCTGACGCGTCGCTACGGGCCGGTGCGGACCGACACCCGGACGAATCCGGTAGGGAGCCGTGCGCCACAACGGAAAAGGGCGCACCGCCTAGACAGGACGAGGGAACACCGTCAGTGCAACAATGACGCTTCCAGTGACAGTTTACTGCAATAAGAGCTCTGCCAGCATCTGGCAGAAAAGACAGGCGGTATTTTACGTGCCTCGATGGCATAGGAATGGAAGCAAGCAGGGATAAATTCTATCTGGAGCTTAGCAGCTTTTTGCAGATCATTTCGGGCGGATTGATGGAGGGGAGGAGCAGATCGCACCAACAATGGAGGGGAGGAGCAAACACGCACTTGTGGGCAATGCCGGCAAACATTTCGGATCGCATTATGCAGATCTAGGTAAAAAGTGCTTGCGCTGTCTACTACCTTCTAGCTTGTTCTTTCCGAAGGAAAACTCGTGATACTTTACCGCTCTAAAGAAAACAAACGGTTTGCTAACGCATTTATTTCCGTTGTCTGGTACAAAAAGTTGGCAAGGCACCACCGGAGGACCAATCTCCTTTGAATTTAACGATATCTAGAACGAAATGTAAATTCCAGGGCACTCATCCTCGTGCGATCACCATCAACGTAAGGCGTCGTTCAAAAAATACAAGCAACTGCGAGAAAAGTCTCACGATTGAACAATCTCGCACATTTCATCATTCAAAACGCCGGGTACAGCCACACACAACCAGCTGTTTGCTTCTGGAATCGGGCACGGGTCACCGCTGGGCGATTCCCGCAAAGCAGCCCCCCCCCCCCCCCGCCTCCCCACAGCATGCACGGAATAGCCCGGCGCCCCAGCGGCAGCCGGGGGCTTCTCTCGAGCGTCAGGTCGGACAGTCAAACCCGGAGGCAGCTCAAGCCCCATTCACTTTGTTGCGTCCGTTCTCTGCGGGCGGCAGCCTGTCGTACGCCGGGGGCTTCGAGCGTGGCCCCGGGCAAAACTGTGTGGCGCCATTTCATTCTGGAGGCCAATGAAAAATCAATCTGCGGCGGATAATGCTGTACATGACCTGGAAGACTGCAGCTAGACCGTCACAGAGGGCGGGAATTTCGACAGCGGCCTGGCGAAAGTTGAGTAGGCTAAGCTATGTCAGCTGTGAGCCAAGGCAAGTAACCGTCCATAACTGTCGCTAACATTAGATTAAAGGCAAGGGTCCAAAGCCTTGCACGAAAGTGAGTGCTGTACGTAATTCATCTGACGCCCTGGGTACAGGGTATGCCGAAAAACGGCCTGAAATGCACCAAAGTGAACGGGACTTCAGCGTCACGAGCTTACTACCGAGGAACGCTGCCATTGGCGGCCCATCGCCCTCCCTAGCACGCACATCACTCTTACTCTACCACCGTTCGCGCGGCGCCGCGGTCCCCACTGACTAGCCCACTGCGCAAGGCACACATGGCGAAAGACTGGTCCACCTGTGCGCTCCCGCAACCGGTGAAGGGCCGGGCCTCATCACCTCACTTTTGAGCTGGCCCGCTCACCCGGTCGCGACACACACTGATCACAGCCCCGCCGGCGCGCCCTCCTCCAGCCCCATCGCACGCCGCGGCCGGCCCCGCCCAGCGCCGGCGGGGCGAAAGATAAGCGCGACTGGCCGGCAGGCGTCGCGGAGAATCTCCATGGCAACGCTGGAAGCCGGGACCGCGTAACGCGTCATTCTCACCGCGGAGCGTCCGTGCGATCTTCACTGAGCGAATTAGCAGGCGGAGGGCGGACCGCTGACTTGTACACCGTGAGCGACGTCGTGACCGCCAGCGCCTGTTCGCCAAATGCCCCCAGTCATCTGAGATCACCAGAGCGCCGACGTCGCGCGCGGACTCGCATCGGCCGACGCGCGAGCGCAGCCCGTCGCCACGTCCCGAGCGCCGCCTGCACCACAGCTACTTGCGCCGGCCGCTAGCGTCCACGCTCCCCTAGCCGCTAGCGCGGTCACATGACCTGGAGCACGTAGAGCACGCCGGCGTCGTCGATGGTGACGAGCGTGGTCCAGTCGTCGTCGACGGCCAGCCGCCGCGCCAGCGTGCCGCGGAAGGCAAACACCTGACGCAGCTCGGCGGTGACCCCGCCACCAGCCGGCGGCTCCACCGGACGACCCGACCAGTACGAGAAGTACTGCTTCTCCGGCGGCCGGAGGCGCGGCGAGCCCGGCGCCGGTGCCGACAGGCGGCCGTGCTCAGGCGTGCATTCTGTGGGGAAGGGGGGAGGGTCGAGGTGAGGTGTGAGCCGTGGCACGCACGGCATACCCGGCGACGGGGACCGGACAGCAGTCACGGGCAGCGCAAGGCCAACAGTCACGCGCCAGAGACCGGCACATCGCAGGGACAGTCACCCGCAAAACGAGGACGCAAACCGAAGCAGGAATACAATTATGACGAATCCACGTGATCGCTGGTGCACCTTTGTTTTGGGAGGCAGAAAATCCGTAACAATTATCATATGACTTTCCACGAGGACACCACACATCTACGCCTCAGTCAACACGTCAGGCCAGGGCGCGGCGCGTTCATAAACACTGGCAGCAGCCGCAGCAGCGTGCACCGCATGCGGCCACATGAAGCCCCGTCGCCGCAGCGCCGTGCCCCGGCCCTATGCGCGGCTCACGTTTGTTGGAGAGTCGCCACCAGGCGAGGCAGTCGCTGACGGAGACGATGGTGCGACCGTCGGGCGACACGGCCAGGTCGTGCACCCAGCTCTGGTGCAGCTTCAGCACCAGCGGCGGACACAGGATGTCCGTCCGCGTCACCTGCGGCGGCGGGCGGACGTTAGCACTCGTCGCGCACGCGCAGATCCGGCCACGGCGCGGCGACGAGCACGCGATCCGGCGCCCGTCCCTCCCCTCCCCACCGTTTGGGGGGGGGGGGGGTGCACATCATCCACCTGCCGCCAGCGGAGGGCAGCTCTGTTTGGCGCACTCACCACCACGTCGCCGTCGTCATGGCCGGTGACCAGCAGCGAGCCGTCCCCGGAGAGCTGGAACGTCCGCACGGGGCCCTGGTCCAGCGTGAACGACTTGACCACGGCGCCCGTCGAGAGCCGCGTCATCTTCACCTTGCCGTCCACGGCTGCCGGCCAGCAGGCGTCCAGTGACCAGCAGGCGGTCGAGAGCCGTCCCATGCGTAGCACGTCATACATCGAATCACGAATACCGGGTTCGATTCCTCCAAAGGAAACATCTACTCTCGTCTCGACTCTCACCTAACATGGCGACGCTGCCGACCGCGGCAGCTAGCTGCAGCGATTAACCCGCCCGAGAACTTAACATTGAACAGTGTGGGGGACGAAGCCGCAGCGCTGCCGGGCGTTCCGCGTCCGACTGCACGCGCGAGGCCGCCCGGTGAGCTGCGCCTGCTAGCTACCGTGCCGGACTGCCGTCCTCCCATCAACAGCACGTCCCGATCCCGAAACCGCCAGCCCCGCAAAACCACAAACAGGCAAAGGTAGCGGTTTTCCGACGAGCAATGACGACATGCGATGGCCCTGCCTCCTGGCCGTCTGCGCCAGTCCGGCGGCCTGACCTGCTGTGACCACGACGAGGTCGGGCGGGCAGGGCGACTCGCCGCGGCCGCTGGTGCCGTTGGCGCGCGCCGCCGCCGCCAGCCGCACGATCCGGTAGCAGGTGACCGTCGAGCCCGAGTGCGCCACGTGCGCCGACAGCAGCTTCCCGGAGGCGGCCAGGTACACCTGGCGGCGGGGCGTGCGCCGCGTCACGGGACGGAGCGCCGACGCCGCGGCGGCGGCGGCGAGGGGCGCGCCAGGTCGATCCGAGGTGGCGTCACAGGCTCCGCCTCATCGCCGTCATACAGTGGGCAGGGCAGGCGGCAGAGCACGTGCTCGCGCGGAGGAGGTGTGGCAAACCAGGCCGCCCTGCGCTACACCAATGGCTCTGCGGAGCACCTGCCACGTTCGTTGTTGCGGCAGGGCGGTGGTCTTCGCCGATATAGACATGCGTATTCCTGTTTTCCATCTAAGCTTTCGTCTTTCGAGAATGTGGTTACCAACACAATTGTTCGCGGCCGTGATCATGACATTTGGCTTGAGCTCGGGACAGAGCTCATTGTTGTTGGTAACAGGGGAAACCGATATCACATAGATGTTGGACTTTAAGATGCCCTTGTTCCCTGCTCCTCGTTTCCAGAGGATTGGTTCGACACCAGAAATAACACACGACAGGGGCAAAGGGCTTGCAAGCGCACGAACGTTGCATTAAAGGGAGTGTTGCACATTGATATGGGGTTTGAACCGAAATAGCCACCTTGGAGACCTTTCGGTGCTATTCGCAATCCTGTCCCTCTTAAGACCTCAGCCCCTGTAGTTCCTGAGCTACACGCCCGCGAAAATAGAGAAAGGTATATCGTGGAGAGTATTCGAGTCACCTTGGCATTCATGACGTCATAAAAGCGTCATTAAAATCCTGCGATTCCGCAAGCCGTGAGGCGACCAAGGACAAAAAATATCATTGTTGATGCGTTTATATCTGACGTTCGTGAGTGCGATTTCCAGATATAACGGCCGTCAGCTGGCCCTCAAGCAATATTATGGACGTCACGATGACGTAACGAAAGCACGTCGCGTTGAGCAGCATATTTACTAAACAGCAACTAAAGTTGCCCACAGCGGTCTTTTCCACTTGAACTAGATCGTGCAGCAGCAGTAAGCCACACGTAACCAAGCTGGGGATAGAAGCGTTAGCCCTTTTCGGAGCGGGTGATGGACTGCTGGAGTCTGAGCGTGTGCGGGGTGGGTACGGCCGTGGTTGACGGCAGTTCAGCATGGCACCGGCATGGCCCAAACCACTTTTCACAAGCGGATCGTAAAAGGTGAAATCTGAATGTTGTGAAAAAAGGGACTCCCTTAACCATACAGTTTGAAATTCGCGATTTTTACAGCCCAGCACCCGTATTCATAAGAGGAGACCAATATACGCACATCTCGTTAATGGCATACAAACAAAGCCAGAACAAATATAGCGCTTCAATATGCTGAATCCCACACAGATATTTAGGCGTAGACACAAAACATGAACAAAATACACTAAGCAGATCTACGTAGGTCACGATTTCGGAAACACCAGGACACACACGGCCACAGGCTCAACCAGGAAACACCAGGACACCACACGGCCAGGCTAAACCAGAGTACATCCAGAAGCTCCACACAAGAACAAGCTCCCACCTGTGAAATCAGCTACCATGGGTCAACGCGCAAGCATGCGAGGTGACCTGAAGCCCGAACCCCTGGCCCGCCACGCCCCACTCACTTTCGCAATCAAGTTATCAACGCGGAAGAAGGCCGCACGAGCAGCGCGAGTCCTCGCGCGCCGGGTGGACCCATGCACGGAGTCCTCCTGAAGCAGAGAGACACTGCGGCATCATCCTCCGCCGCAGAGCCACCCCGCCACAGCAGCCAGCATGCCACGGGCTGGGCCTGGCGAGGCGCCCGCCAGGGCCCGTCCCAGGCGGGCGGCAACGGCGGCATGCAGACGGTGCGCCGCGCGAGGCCGGCTCGGGTACAGGCTAGCGCGGCCACCACAGCCAGCATGCCACGGGCTGGGTCTGACGCGGCGCCAGCCAGGGCCCGTCCCAGGCGGGCGGCACGGAGGCATGCAGACGGTGCACCGCGCGAGGCCGGGTCGTGTACAGGCTAGCGCGGCGCCCCGGGCGCGAGTCGGGCGCGGCCGCCTCGGGAGCAGCCGCCACTCGGGCTGCTGTGAGGTTAGCAAGCATGCGAGGTTAGCATGTGAGGTTAGCAAGCATGCGAGGTGAGCTTACCCGAATCGGCAGGGTTAGAGCCGGACACACGCTGAGCCGCCACCACCAACGCTACCTGCGTCGGACGCACGACGCCAGCTCCGACAGATTCGGCGGACGGGGGCACGTCACGTCGCCGCCGCGGCGCCCGGACGCGTCACGCCACTCTCGGGCCTCTGCCGCGTCACAGCCGACCCCACTCACCTGGGCGCTCCCGCCCCGCCCCTCCCTCGCCGCCGCCGGCGTCGGCCGCCGTCTGCCTACCTTCAGCGTGCCGTCGCGGGAGCAGGACACGGCGAGCAGGCCCTCGCTCGAGTCGTACAGGCCCACCTGGGTCACCGCGCCGTCGTTGCCGCTGCACGTGACGTTGGTGCGGTCGGGCCACCACACCTGCCAGAGGCGAGCGGCGAGGTCGGAACACACGTGACGTTGGTGCGATCGGGCCACCACACCTGTCAGAGGCGAGCGGCGAGGTCGGAATACACGTGACGTTGGTGCGGTCGGGCCACCACACCTGCCAGAGGCGAGCGGCGAGGTCGGAATACACGTGACGTTGGTGCGGTCGGGCCACCACACCTGCCAGAGGCGAGCGGCGAGGTCGGAATACACGTGACGTTGGTGCGTAGCCTACGATGTGCGCTTCCACACGTGACGGCAGCTGCCGGCATTTTACATTCGCAAAACATGTGTTTCAGTGGATATCGAAGGTGCATGGGTGCCTGGAAAATAATACGTCCCGTGGACGTGAAAACAGCCGAAGAGTTGCAAGAAGGAGATAACTATTACAACACTACAGTAGGTAATGAGGGGGAGGTCATGGGAACAGCCAGCGCACGCAAGTTTCGACCGGAGGCGTGCAGGTGCAACGCCGGCAGAAGGCGAATACAGGACTGAGGCAGAACGAAGCTGGGCGCGCCCCAGCCAGTTCACGGGAGGCCGACAGGGAGACAGACTTCAACGAGGCGGCTGTGGGCCATCCCTCGCTGGACTCACAAAGGCGAGAAGGTGGGGGATACCCACTTGCGCCTCACCCAGTCACAGCACATCGACATACTTCCAGCGGCACAATAGTCGTGACATCAACCACGTGCTGGCGTCTCCCTGGCGCAGAACAGACCTGCTTGAGCAGAATAGACTTGGGGGGGGGGGGGGGGGGGGGCAGAACAGAAACTCGTTGGACAGGACAGGGACTCGCGGGGGACGACAGGGACCCGGGGGGGGGGGGGGAGGGCAGAACGGAGACTCACGAGGCAGAACAGACTCGCGGGGCAGGACAGACTCGCCGGACCGCGTCGGACTGGCGGGGGCACGCCCCACCGGCAGCGGCCCCGCGCCAGGCGCGACGGCGCCGCCATCGTCCCAGGTCCCGCCGGTCGCGCGGCACCCCACCTTCATGTTCCTGTCCTCTGAGCCGCCCACCTTCATGTTCCTGTCCTCTGAGCCGCTCACCTTTATGTTCCTGTCCTCTGAGCCGCTCACCTTCATGTTCCTGTCCTCTGAGCCGCTCACCTTCATGTTCCCGTCCTCTGAGCCGCTCACCTTCATGTTCCTGTCCTCTGAGCCGCTCACCTTCATGTTCCCGTCCTCTGAGCCGCTCACCTTCATGTTCCCGTCCTCTGAGCCGCTCACCTTCATGTTCCTGTCCTCTGAGCCGCTCACCTTCATGTTCCCGTCCTCTGAGCCGCTCACCTTCATGTTCCCGTCCTCTGAGCCGCTCACCTTCATGTTCCTGTCCTCTGAGCCGCTCACCTTCATGTTCCCGTCCTCTGAGCCGCTCACCTTCATGTTCCTGTCCTCTGAGCCGCTCACCTTCATGTTCCCGTCCTCTGAGCCGCTCACCTTCATGTTCCCGTCCTCTGAGCCGCTCACCTTCATGTTCCCGTCCTCTGAGCCGCTCACCTTCATGTTCCTGTCCTCTGAGCCGCTCACCTTCATGTTCCCGTCCTCTGAGCCGCTCACCTTCATGTTCCTGTCCTCTGAGCCGCTCACCTTCATGTTCCTGTCCGCTGATCCGCTCACCTTCATGTTCCTGTCCTCTGAGCCGCTCGCCTTCATGTTCCCGTCCTCTGAGCCGCTCACCTTCATGTTCCTGTCCTCTGAGCCGCTCACCTTCATGTTCCTGTCCGCTGAGCCGCTCACCTTCATGTTCCTGTCCTCTGAGCCGCTCACCTTTATGTTCCTGTCCGCTGAGCCGCTCACCTTCATGTTCCTGTCCTCTGAGCCGCTCACCTTTATGTTCCTGTCCGCTGATCCGCTCACCTTCATGTTCCTGTCCTCTGAGCCGCTGACGACGGCGCCGTCCGGCCCGAACTGCAGCGAGATGACGCGCTGGCTGTGCTTGCCGAGGATGTTGGGCTCGGCGCGGCTCGCCGACGCCACCGCGATCTCGTACACGCCTACGGAGCCGTCCTCGCAGCCGAACGCCACCTGCCGGCGCGCGGCGGCCGTGAGCGCCGAGAGAGCGGGCGACAGGGAGGCAGCAGCTGACGGCGAGATTGCTCACGGCAGAGGACTGAGAGACGGCTGGGGGGGGGGGGGGGGGGAGGGTCTGGGAGAAGAGAGGCGGGCGTGACATGGAAGGCGGGTGTAGGGTGGAAGATGCTGACGGCAAATATTGGAGCATCGTAAGCGTCCTCATGCACTACACTCGCTCGCAGCCATGTCGTCCGCTCTAACCGATGAATCTTCGTTGGGAACTGTTCAAAGTTCTTCATCGACCATGGCCAATGAACTCACTCAACACTCGAAGATCCCAGAACCAACTAAACCTCAGTCAAAAGCGGCCTGATAAGTCGGTTGATCGAAAGCCATGTACCTGATGTCTGTGCCGCACAAGGGCACAAAAGACACGCGCAACATTTCGACTTTGTAAAGCGCAGAGACAAATGCCGGTCGGAGATCACTAATCGCACCATAGTTCCGGCTTGGTTGATCTCCGTGATGCAGATCTTCTCCCCCACGGGCTTCGTCGTGGTCACAATGGTGCCATCGAGTCCTCTGAGGACCTGGAACAGCGGAACACTGCATCAGCGGACGACGCTCCTCAACAGACGAGTCGTTCTGCGCCCATGCCGCGACGGCAACGCAGCACACAGAACGCAGATATCACGATATCACACGAGCATCAGAGACCAGCCATGAAGCCGACCACCAAACTGACAGCGCGCGGAGCCAAACTGAGCGTGGACTGCATAATTCGGCGCGAATTTTAATCCCAAGAAACCATGGCATCGCAAGCAAATACACAGCTGTCAACTTTTAACAACGTAGCCAAATTTGCAGTGCATCATCGGTTTATACATGCGCAAGAAATTGACTGCGTTTATACGGGCTACGTAGCAAAGTAAATTCAACCAGCCCCTAAGTCCTGCTCTTAGTGGGGAGCTGGTTAACATGCATGCAGTAAACCAATACCAATGAGCAGTGTCGAAGCTAGCTAAGAGGCCGTGCTAATGTGCAAGAGCGTGCGAAGAGAACAACAAGAACAGCATGCACATGCCGTGATGCCACCTCAGCATCGCTGAGGCCCTACCAGGCCCTCAGGCCCTATCTCACAACGTCGGACGCGGCGGCAAGCCGCAGCCGCCGCCGTCGCCTAGCAACAGCCAACAACTACACTCTCCGCGAGCCCTGTAAAAACGACAGGAGCGTGATCCGAGCTACGAGGCGGCCTCACAGCCGGAGCTAGCGGCGCACCGAGCAGCGCACGAGCTCCACAGACAGAGAGTGAGAGCCAGAGAGAGAGGCAGAGAGGGCGGGAGCGGCAGGCGCCGAGGCGCGCCGCCCGGGCGGTATCGGCCAGCCCGTGGCCCGGTGCAGCCCGGCAGGACGTACCATTAGCTCACGGTCCAACTGGCCCTGCAACCGAGAGGCGGGCGTCACGGCTGACGAAGCTCACTGCCGGACGGCGGCGGAGGCGGACCAGGCGACACGGACGCCGCATGAGGACAGACCGCGGGGTGAAGTCGGCGGCGCGCGGCGCACACACCGCACCGCCAGGTTAGCACGACACATTGTGAAGCGTCAGTCGAAGGATGCACTTTTATAGAAATGCGCCGAAGGCGAGCGTGATGAAGGGCGTCTGAGTGGCGCCATTTTGACCGCACAGGGGTGAGTTTGTCCCAAAGGTGTCACGCAAGGACACTGCTGTGCAGCACGAGTCACAGAAGAGCACCTCGGCCCGGAAAAGGTCGCCACGGGAAGGCGTGCAGCTGCACACGCCGGCCGGTGACGGTGCCCTCGTACTGCGCACATCGTTCTGGGGCGCCCCAATGGACCGAGTGCTGTACAAAACCCTTAAAGTGCAGCCAAGATCGGCTGCGGACGCTTTCCTCGCGCGCCAACCCGGCCGGGACGTCTCAATACAGCATCGATCGAAGGACACTTCACGACAAAGATTTCCACGAGAGGAAGGGGCTCAGGCACAAGGCAGTGCTTCCTCACAGCAGCTGGCGGGAATGGACATCCTTGCACTGAAGAAGCTTAAGCGTGCCGAGTCGCAGCACAAGTCATACATGCACGCTTCATACCGCTGAAGTCCTTCAGGGACGCATCCGTACAGAAGGGGTCCACCACAGCACGCCGAAGTACGTTGGCTGCGCCTATGCGCAACACACGCGAGGACGTGAACGGCGAATAGTCACGCAGCGCCACGAACGTCACGCCCAAGTCACAGGTGGAGACCAGCAGGACGCCCAGGCCAAGCAGGAGAGGGTGCTCACCGCACAGCAGCCAGACAAAACCAAGCAGGAGACGGCCACCGCACGTCGGCCGGACAGTTCCGAAGAACACGTGACAGGGGGTCGCAGCGGGGCCAGACGCGTTCGGTCCGAGCCGACGTCACAACGACGGCCACACCGACGATCACCTGAGCAGCGTCGGCTCTCGCCGCGTCTGCCGTCCGCTCTGGCCGGTCATCGACCCCCGTCCACCCACGCGGCATCACCCGACAGTAGCAGGCGACAAGAGAACCCGACCCGACCGGCAGGCAGCAAGACACGAGTGTCACCCCTCTATCGCGCCGAAGCGCCGACTCCTGCCGTCGCCGCGGCACGGTCCCGCTCGGCCGCGGTCATGCCACGACCGCATCCCGCGGCTGTCGGCTACGGTTACCGCCAGCTTCCGGCAGTCACGTAAGGACGCCGCCACAACGGCGGTCTCTCCCCGTGCCGCATGCTTTCTGTACCGTTCTCGTGGCAAGAGGCTCTAGGTACATAAGGACTTGCGAAACTCATCGGCAATACTGACTGCACCCGATCCGAGTGCTTGTAGCGTCTTCCAGCCGTTGCAAGCACTAACGTTGAGAAATCCACACGCTCACAGCCCGGACTAAACAAAACCTAGTTGCTCTAAATGACACGGTTAGATCAGACCCCACAACAAACTACCCTCTGACGAACTACCTCTACACCGCAGCGACTTACAACGCAAACCTCCGGCGCGCAGCCGAGTCTTGTCTCCTGCTCTACACCAGACCACACCTATCCGGTCCAAGCGGTGAGCGAGCCCCCAGCTCTGGCCCGGCTGCTGGGCCCGGACTGCTCCTCTGGGCACACGTTCTCGTCGCGGTCAGTTAGTGGACGCCCGCCCACATGCACCCACCGGCGCACCGGCCGACCCCGCCGCGTCCCGCAGGCGGTTAGTGGACCCCACAGCCGGCTCGCTCGGGCAGCGGACAGTTATGTTCCGTCATTGTTATTCATTACTGTCCCGTCGGACGCGCCGTCGCCGGCGGCGGCGTCAGCGGCGCACATGCGTCCGGGGCGGCCATGCAAGCGGCGGCGGCAGCGGCGGCGGTGGGGGAGCCAGGCTCACCTGGACGCCGTTGTTGGACGTGATGGCGGCGACGACCAGCGAGCTCGGGTCGGGCGAGGCGAACCGCGCCGAGAACAGCGGCTGCAGGCTGTCCTCCACCTTGGGCGTCCTGGTGAGGCTGCACGAGGTGACCATGTCGCCGGCGCCCGCCAGCAGCCGCTCGCCGTCGTGGGAGAACACCAGTGAGGTCACCGACCTGTGGCCGCCGGCGGCCGGTCAGCTGAGGGGACGCGAGCCAGCCACCGGACAGCCAGTCGAAGCGTTTGTAGCGGGGAGCGCCGCCACACCACCAGAGAAGCCATGGCAAGCATCGCCTGTGTCAGGGTTTTGAGAGACTCGAAAGCAGAGGCTTAAGACAGTTCTAAATTCCCTGCCATCAGGCCAGCCGTCTCCATGAATCAGCCTCCATCAAAGCCATGAACTTTGTACCATATGTGATCAGACCCAAGAGCGGACAACACGATCATAAATCAAACACCATCTATGTGCAGTTCATAACGTCCCTGACCAGTAGCTACGTCACGCTGACCTAACGCGGGACACAACATGCACAAAACGACGCAAAAAACTAACACACCAGTCCCTGGTGAAGCACAAATACTGTACTCAGACAGCAACCACTTTAATTTCCCCGAGGCGTTCCGACCACCGACAGCCAGTCTCTCCTGCCCGGCCCGCCGCCGCCCGGCCAGCCCAGGCGACCGAGCGACGCCGGGCGTCTGACTCACCCGGCGAAGCCGCGCTGTGTCGAGATGACGCGCCGCTCCAACAGGTCCCAGGTCTCGTACATGTTGGACGAGGTGCCCACCACCAGCTGGCGCTGGTCGCGGCTGAGGCGCGAGCACAGGTACAGGTCGTGCTCGTTCGGCGCCTGCATCTTGACTTCCACGTAGTCGCGACTCGGCCGCCGGCTCGTGTCCCACACCCAGCAGAAGATCTCGTTATCAGCCACAGAGACGATCGAGTTGTTGTCTGCAACGTCGGCGGGCGGCCGGGACACCGGTCAGACGCTGTCTGGCAGCTGCCTGACACAGGTGGCGTCAGCAGCGCCGGCGGGCGGCCGGGACACCGGTGAGGTGCTGTCTGGAAGCTGCCTGACACAGATGGTGTCTGCAGCGCCGGGGGGCGACCGGGACAGGTGAGGTGCTGTCTGGCAGCTGCCTGACACAGGCGGTGTCTGCAGCGTTGGTGTCATCTGCGACTCGGGAAGACCGTGCCGTCTGATGTTTGTAAGAGGCCCGATCATGCCGTCCGCTACAGCACAACGCCTCATCTGAAGCCCGACTGGACTACCGCTGCCTACAACACGCGAGAGCAGCTGGCCACAACAGCGACGGACCATGACAAGCCCACCCAAAACCGCTCCCCTCGTCCGGTGGGCCACACGCCTCACCTTTACTCAGGCTGAGCGAGATGACCCGCAGGTGGTGCTGGCTGAAGGTGTACAGCAGGGAGGCGTCGCGCGTGCTCCACAGCCGGACGCGGCCGTCGGCGGCGCCCGTGGCGAAGTAGGTGCTGTCCGGCGAGAAGGTGCAGCACGTGATGTGGCCGTTGTGAGCCTTCTCCTTCTCGAACAGCGGACCTCCCAGGACGTCCCACAGCTGTGGGGAGCGGCGGCCGGTGCCGGTGAGCACTGGCAGGCGGGCGCGGCACACGCGATGTCGCAACAGCAGCTTCTCGGTGTAACACATGGCTACAAGGATTGTCTGACAAGTGGTCTGTGAGGGCGCGACGCCCGCTGCGCCATTTGGGACAACAGTAAACGTTTACGTGAGCGGAAGACCACCAACACAAACGCATTTCAATCGAGTGAGCCATGACAATGTGTTAACGCTATTTGTGATATACTGTCTGTAAACAAGCATCTTCTTGCAAATTGCAGGTGTGACCTATACCGTTGTTACGTGCATATAGTGTCATTGTTACCATTAAAATGTCAACGCGAAAAAACCTTGATGCTTTACATAACCATCCCCAGCAGACACCCCGTGCCCGTTATTGGAAGTGGGTGCCTCAGACTCTGCAGCACCAGTGAGGCGTCCAGCACGGTGTAGGACCAGCGAAATAGTGACAGCTGTGACCGACCCGGTCCGCTACGGTCGGCATGACGTCAGCGTTCCACAGGGGTTCGCTCGGTCCGTGGTCTCGCTTGCAGTGGGGAAGCAAATAGACAGCAAAATGTCGACCCTTTATCGGGGCAAGCCGCTCCTTTTTGTTCCGGCCCTTGGTACCGCATATCACCTCAGAGCACTAGCACAGGCGATACCAAAGTGCACCTCCTACCAGCATCCCCGCATCTGCCGCCACCGGATTAGCACCAGCCGCCCTCGCCGCCGGCGCCGGCCGGGACGCCTGAGCGCGCTGGCCGGCCGCTGCCGCGGCAGCAGCACCGCCCCCGCCGATCACCTTGAACGTGCCCTCGACGTCGCCGGAGAGCAGGTGGGCGCCGTCGGGCGACCAGTCGACGCACAGCACGGCCGCCCGGTGGCCGCGCAGCGTCAGCAGGCTGTCGTCGCGCGGCGCTGCCTCCG